TCGCCCCCCCCTCCCCGGTGAGCCCCGGGGCGGCGCCGGAGGCGCGGACGCGGCTGTGCCTGGCAGGATCGGGTTTATTTATTGCCTCTGGCCCGGAGCCGGGGCGGCCGGGGACTGCACAAGTTCCCTACGGCCCGAGCCCTTGCCCTGTCTCCCCACCCCCCAATGCCGTCTCCATCCCAGGGGTCTGCCTCTTCCCAGCCCGCATCGTCCTGGGCGGAGCTCTCTGGTGGTTCGGAGATGGAAGCCGAGAGACCAGTGCGCCCCACGGCTCGCGTCCTGCGCCACCTCGCAGGTTCCCAGTGGGGACAACGTGGCGGAGGAGGAGGTGGCCACCTCTGCCCTTGGGCCAGAAAGGGGCTGTAGATGCCCAACTCAAACTCCAGAGACCAGCCGCTCCGGAGCCCCTCTCCTCCGGGGGCTACAGCCTTCCTTTTCAGGGTTCCTTCTGTCCCCAGCCCCAAGGCCTCAATAGCCCTTCCCCTTAGAATAAATTAAGACTCTCCAGCTTCTACAGGATCCCAGGAAAAGAGGAAGAAAGGGCTGCCAGATCATGTCCCAGGAAGAGCCGCAGCCCTTGGCCGGGAGCTGGGCACAGGGCTGGGTGCGGGTCTGTCACAGCGCCCCGGCCTTTCTACAGAGTCCGGATGGCCACGGGGTAGAGCAGGGACATGTGTTCGGCCCCCTTAATGGGCAGCTTGCGGCTGGCGTAGTGGTGCACGATTTCAGGGACGCTGCTGAAGGGTGGGCTGTTCTGGCCCAGCACGTACTTGTGTTCCTTGGTCCGAGACAGCTTCATGTGCATGAAGCCCTGGCTGCTCCTGGGAAGGAGAGAAGACCCTGGTGAGTAGGGGCTGCAGTCCTCCCCACCCCAGGGCACATGTGGTCTCTGGGAAGCCCACTGGGAAGAGGTGGCTAGGGAGGGTGGTGTGAGCAGGATGCATTAAGCACTGGCTTTGTGGTGAGAGCTCGGGCTGTGCCAAGTGTGTGTGTGTTGTGAGTGTACAGGGTGTGTGCAAGTGGAAACCGGAGCGGCCAGCACCCCAACCCCGGCCCTCCAGCCCATGTACCGGGGCCAGCCCACTCTCCCCTTCCTGGGTGGTGGGTGGGGCCCTGTGAGGGGCTCCTGGTGACTCACGTGGAGCCACAGACGCCCTTGAAGAGGGTGGGTAGACAGTCCTGGTTGGAAGTCTCCCTTGCAAACAGGTGGTGTGGGTAAACTGATCTGGAAGTGCTCCCAGAATCTAGAAATGCTTAGCTGCCTCTTCCTGGGGATGTCCCTTCACCCTCTCACCCACCGTCTGGGCCCCGGGCCAAGCCCCCAGCTCATCCATCCAGCCCTTTGGTCTGGATGACATCATCCGAAGTCCAGGCTGCAGCTCCACTGCCTCTCCCGCCTCCCTGCTACAGCCCAGGAAATCAGCACACACACCTAGCCCTGCCCTCAAGTCCAGGACCGCCCCCACCCCCACCCCCTAATTCAGAGCTCTCACCAGCTCCTAAATCTCCACGCGCCTTCAGCCTTAGAGAGGGTGTGGGGAATGACTTCCCCACTTGTCAGAATTGCTACAGGCTTGGTGAACCGGGCCTCAGGTCTGAAACATACACAGGCGAGAGGCAAGGAGCCTCCGGGGGAGGGTGGAAACACCAGCACTTGACAGTGGCAGACCAGAGTGCAGGTAAGGACAAGGGCTGGGCCTCGAGGCTGCAGGGGAACTAGCAGCGAGGGGGCTGCCTCCATCCTGAGGACCCACTGTGGAGGTGAGGCTGGCAAACTTCATCACTGGCTGCCTCTGCCTTGGACCTATTTGTCTAGGCCCACAGTGGGGAAGGAAGCGGCCAGCTGCAGGTGAGAGGAGAGGAACGGGAGGAAAACACAGGCCCCAACTCCAACCTGCTGCCTTGCCCAGGGCACAGTGCCCTGAAGCCTTAGGAGCCTTGCAAACTGCTGGAGGAGGCCTGGGGCCCCAGGGCTGGGTGTGTCTCAGGTTGTGGGGTTCATCTGCAGGGCTGAGATAATGGCCGGGAGGGAGGAGCCAAAGGCCTGAGGCAGATGTGCACCCCTGTGGGCAGCAGGAGGAAGCCAAGAACAGTCTACTGCCTCTGTAGCACTAAGCCACAGCCCAGGCTCAAGGCCCAGCTTTCTCTCAACTTCTCCCAATTTAGGGATGACTCCCACTACCTGGTCCACCTAGGGGAATCATATCTTCTCGAGGGGGAGATCTGGCTAAGGGCAACAAGTGGCCAGACAGCCCAGACTCCATCTGTACCACTCACCTCCTTGGGGGAGAGGGGGCTAGCTGTGCTTTCCAACCCGCTGGGACAAAGTCCCAAGGGCCCATTAGGACACAGCCAGGCCCTTGCCAGACCCTCAGGGGGCCGGGTGGGACCAGCTGGACCGCAAGGCTGGGGGCTGGCATGGCTTTCTGAGGAAGCTGTTTAATTACCAGTGAAAGCCCTTCCATTAGGGAAGAAAAGAGAAACCATAATTGTATTTCAGAGAAGCCATTTATATGCAAACAAGGTTCTGGCAGACAGGAGCTGGCAGGCCCAGATCAGCCAGGGCTGGACCAGGCGTCCAGGCCTGCCTCCCCTTCTCACTCCCCAGGCTAAGACCGGGTCTGCTGGGCTCTGCTTTGGGGAACCAGACTCCTGGTGCCTCTCTCCACCTTGGATGGTAGCAGACATGGGGCACAGGTTGAGGGGTGGAGTCCTGCAGCAGAATAGTGTACTTCTCAGACTGGGCTGGGTTCTGATCCTGTTTGGGGGACTTTATTAGCTGGTAGCCCTGAGTAAGACACAAGCATCTGTTAGCTGTTTTTTGTTGTGGTTGTTTTTGTTGTTTTAAGAGATCTATCATACAGGGTAGCAGTTGGTTTGGAGATGGTGTACATGCTGCTTGGTATGCTCCATGAATCTGAACTATAATTTTGAAAGCCATACACATTCTTGAAGTTCCCTAAATCATATTTTTGACAAAAGAATTTTTCTGAAATGCTCCCTTGACTTTATAATTCATATACTCCTAGAGTGCGAGAGCTGGAAGAAATCTAGTATCAACTCATTTGGCGAAGGGAGAAACTGAGGCCCACAGATGTTAAGTGATTTGCCTAGAGTCAAACCATCAGTTTTACCAAACACAAGAAGAGAAGTCAAGCTTACCAGACAATAGTCTTGTGCTTTTTCTATTATCTTTTAGTGAAGTTGAAAAATTCTCTCTCAAATGTATCTGGTTTAGGATTCCCACGTTTCCACAGACTGGATTTGTTTGAAGTCTATGTGGGGTACTCAAATGCCCCCAGAGGATGTGGAAGGGAGTGGAACAGACATTCCAACAGCGGTGGGAAGAGAGGTAAACGGCATACACCCCAACTGGCTGGCTCACGTGGGGGTGCAGGCTCTACCGGGTACAGCTCCTGGTTACCAAGGGGATGGAAGGGACCTGCTTCGCCTATAACCCCTTTGAAAGCTCAGACACCCTACACACACACACCCTCAGAGTAAACAGAAATAGCTCTGTCCTAGGACCTAGTCCCCCAACTCACCTTGTAGACTCCCTTAGGATCCTATTCCCTGCCTGTGCTTCTAGAACATCTCAGGCTTCCATTAATGATGATGATGACGGTGATACTTTTTTGAGCACTTAGTACCGTGCTAAGTGCTTTACATGTATTATTTCGCTCGGCCCTTCCCTGTAAGGTAGATGTTATTATTCCCATCTTCTTAGTGAGGAACCTGAGGCCCAGAGAGGTGAAGGGGGCCCCAGGCCACACTGCTAGTAAGGACAGAGCCTTCTGGATTGGACACTGTAGCCCAACCATTTCCCCTACAGGACTCAGAGCCTTGAGAACAGGGAGTGAGTTGTAGACACCTCAGGATCCCAGGGCCTGGCTCAGAGCTGGCAACTGTTCACGGGAGCTGGGGGCCTCCTTGGTGTGGCTGAGCTTGAGAACACTGGCGTCCCCTCCTGCCCTGGCGGTGTCCCCCTACTCGCTGTCCCCACTCACTTGAGGGAGAGGGAGAAGTCATTCTTGCTGGTCTCGCTGTTGCGCACCAGGTAGCTGGCCTCTTTGCACAGCCGGAGCAGGTTCTCGGCGTCTGTTCGGCTGATGGCCCCGTGGTACCAGCTGAGGATGAGAGAGGGGAAGGGGGTCTCTGCTGGGTCCCTCGCTGTCCAGGCCCACCCAATGTGGGTGTCCCCTGCAGGGAAGCCAGTGCCCAGAGGGGAGGAGATGGGTGTCCCCAGCTGGACACAGACACTCACACCTGGTTTTCCAGAGGCAGTGCTGGATCTGTCCACTCCCCCAGGGGGCTGCTGGGCTCCACGCTTAGGGGCTTGGCAGACTTGGGTTTCCCTGAAGAGAGTCGAGGAGGGAGCCGCCCCTTCTCCTCCCGGCCAGGTGACAGGCAGCTCTTCTCCGATCCTTCAAACTGGGCTGTGGGGAACACATCGGTCACGGGCTCTGAGGACCCTAGAGGTCCTGTGGAAGAGTAGGGTCTTGCCCCCATTCCCTCCTGCCCCAAATGGGTCCAAGGACTGTGGTAGGAGGGCAGTGTATGCTCATGGGATGGCTCTGGGGGCACAGCCCTGGGTCCGCCCCTGGCCTCCCGTTCCCCGGCTGTGGGAGAAGAGGGGAAGGACAACATGAGAAACCACTTAAGCTTCTCCCTCTGGAGCCGCTGCCTGCCTTCCCCACCCCATCCCCTGGGGTGGCTTTGGCGCTGATGATATTGTTTCTTTCTCCTCCTCAGAGTTCATTACCGTTCTCCAAATCACCCTGCCAAGCCATTCTGCAGAAATGACTTATCGATCTGAGAACAATTATCCGATTCCCCCCGGTGCCATCCTGACAGGCTAATCCCGCCCACGGCCGCCAGTGGGCTCACCCCTCCCCCAGCCCAAGGTCGCTGCCCACCGTCTGCCCCAACAGGCCCGTGTAGGGGGCTCTGCCCTCTCATACCAGGACAGCCAGACGGCTGAGCCTATGCACGGGAGGACCCCAGTGGGTCACACAGCCACCGGCGCACATGCATGGGCGACAGACACCCTCCTTCATCCTGAATTTGCAAAATCCCACCACTCTCAGGCAAAAATACACAGACAGGCGTTCACACCCGTGCACGCCCCACCGTGGGTGCTCGTTCTGGGCCAAACTGGATGTGGAGGAAGAATTCAGGGTCCTGTCTCCCCACGTGGGCTCTTTCCGGTCTCTGAAGCACATTCAAGTCCTTATGGCGTTTTAGTCACTAGATCCAAGGGTCAGGGGCAGACCCCTCAGCTAAGGAGTGAGAAGCTCCTGTGCTAGCACCACTCCCACCTCAGGGGAACTTGCACAGCTGCAGGATCCCAAGTTCCACCCAAATGCATGGATCGAAAATGGCACGATGGGCAGTATGTTAGGAACGGGCAGCCCTTCGAAGACCCTGTCCCATAGCTTTGGACATTTTGTTTCTTCCCTCTTACTCCAGGGTGGGGGGGATCCTTCCTGGGTGCTCCAAACCCTGCCCCACCTCTCAGCTCCTCTAACCCAAGCCCACAGGGCCTGAGGAGTGAGAGGAACATGTCGCCCTGGCCAGAAGGGCCCACAGGACCCACCGCTGCTGTCCTCCAGGCTGGGTTCAGGGAGGGGTGAGGCTGGACCGGAGACGTCCCTGTCCCCATCAGGCAGGGAGGGGCTGCTGTCCAGCTGTCCCACGGGCGGAGGCCAAGGTAGGTCTTTGATGACCTTAATGTCAACTGGAGCCAGTAGCAGAAGAAAGAAGAGACAGACAGTGACAGAGACAGGAAAAGAGACAGAGAGAGGCAGAGATTGAGACACCAAAACCCAGAGCCAGGATACAGGATAGCCTAGAAAGGAGGGGCAGAGGCAGAGGCAGGGCAGCTTCTGGGGAGAACATGGGCCTCTCAGAGGCTGGAGACAGCCAACACTGAGCACACCAGGTAGCCTCCCAGGGCGGGAGGCTCAGACGGTAACTGGCAGGACGTAGGGTCTCGCTCTGCCAGCCCCATGAGTCCCCTTCATTTGACCTCTCATAAGCCCCCCCGGGCCCAAAGGGACCAGGAGAGGAGAAGGTTCAGGAGCGACCCACACCTCCCAGCACCACGCCCAGGGCCCCAGCCTCCCGGAACCCCAGTTTTGCCTCCCTTTCTCCTTTTCCTCACAGCCTGAGACCTTGTGGACAGTGAGAACGGGCCAGCTTGGCCTCAGGTTGTCAGGAACACGTAGACGTGGGGCAACTGCTTTACAGAAATCTATCCCCCTCCCCATCCTGAGAAGAGTGATACCATCGGGGCTGTAGGGCTGCTAACGAGGTTTCCTAATGACCAGCATAGATTTTCCCATTAAGCAATCCAAACAGTATTGATTCTCCAAGGAGACTTCTGGAGATAAACGGCCATCCTCAATGGTGTGCAGCTTTACAGGAAGCATATTAGAAACCTGTGGTTTCCCGGTCTGACTGCCAGGGTGGGAGGGCAGAGCGGAGGAGGGCTGAGTCCAGCTCTAGGATGAGCCCCTTGCCGAGGAGGGGTGAGTGAGCAGGAAGTCTACCAGCGTTCCAGCCCTTCACGTGCCCACTGAATGGAGGACCCAGGGGAAAGCCATCCTCCTACTCTGGGCTCTGGCTTGTCTGTGGTGAGCATGGGCCTGGGGTAGACAGGTGTGGGTGGGGAGGAGAACCGTGATCCTCAGTCAGCTATCAGGGGCTTTTCCACAGCGTCCCTCTGCCCCTCAGAACCCACCCTGGGGCCACAGGGCCCTGGTCTGGCAGGGCCCGCCAGGAGGAGACCAGGAGATGGAGACAAACCCTAGAATTCAGGTTACACACCACTGTTTCAAGTGGTAAACACCTGCTTTTGTTAAGTCTAAGTATTAAACATATGCCACAAGCTTTATGCTTTTGTTTTGCAATTTCTTTATTTTTAAATATACCCAACTCCCCAAAAGATGGAAGTGGCCCAAGCCTCCTGGCCTCTGGGAGGCGGTGATGCACGGAGACACCTTCATCCTTCTCCCATGCCCGTTTCCTGACCCACACAGTGCAGTGTCTGCACTGCCCACCTCCCGGCTCTCTACAGTACAGAACTCTACGCTTCCCTGAAACCCTGCTCCTGTGACCTCCTGGATTCCTGGGTCTACTCCTTCCATTCTCCTGAGCCTGGAAAGCTGCTCAGGGGCCCCAGCAGACCTGCCCTCTCCACAGGGACTCACCTGCAAAGGCTTTGGAAATCCGCTCCTTTTTCCACTCCCAGGGCTGGTCATACTCCTCGGGGGGCCTCTCATCATCCTCAGGCAGGCGGGACTCCCGTGGCCATGGGGCTACCTCGCCCTCGGGGGTGGTCCCCTCCTCCTCTGGCTCATAGGGTGTGTCATATAGAGGCAAGGGCTGAGCCGCTGTCTCCTTGGAGCCCCGGATCTCTGCCAGGGAAGGCAGAGGAGAAGAGGCATGAGCTCTGCCCAGGGTGCCTGCTCCCTCCTCCAGCATCGCTCCTCAGCCACAAGCCAGGCCTCCTCCAGCGGAGACACCCTGGTTCCGTGGGAACCTCCATAGCCGCACACCTCATCCTCAAAACACTCCTGGGCCTCCAAAAGCATGGGACCCAAGGGAGGCAGGGACAGATAGGCACCCAAGTACCCCACGGGACCAGCAAGCAGCATTGTGGTTAAGGTGCTGGACTCCTACATGGCTGGCCAGGGTTCGAATCCTGGACTGGTGGCTTGCTTTCTCTCTTTTCCTCTCTCTCTCTCTCTCTGGTGAGTGCATGTGCCCTGTAGCAAATAATAATAATAATAATAAATCAAAAGTCAAATAAACAATTTAAAAAAATACAACACATGGAGGCCGGCAGGTGGCATGATAGCTAAGATGCTAGACTCCCACATGGCTGACCACAGTTCAAGTCCAGGCCTTGACAGCTTTCTCTCTCTCTCTCTCTTTCTCATCAAATTGAGTAACAGTAATAAATAAAAAAATAAAATGAATAATTCTTTAAAGAAAAAATACAAAGCACAACCCCATGATGGCCAGCTAATGTTTACACATTTAGGAAACGGAGGCATGATCCTCCTCTAGTCTGTTTCTTCTTGCCCAGTTCCATTTCTATCATTGTGTCCCAAGTGGTATCATTTCCCAGTCAGAAACCCTGCTTCTGCTCACACACTGCTGACCATGCCCTCCTTGACACTTTCCCTTTGATGAGTCCTTTCCACGAATATGTGTCTTCTCTCTGATCACCCCATGTGGTCTCTTCCCTTGCATCCTCTCTCTCTTTTTCTAAGAGGAGTCAGCTATCAGGGGCTTTTCCACAGCGTCCCTCTGCCCCTCAGAACCCACCCTGGGGCCACAGGGCCCTGGTCTGGCAGGGCCCGCCAGGAGGAGACCAGGAGATGGAGACAAACCCTAGAATTCAGGTTACACACCACTGTTTCAAGTGGTAAACACCTGCTTTTGTTAAGTCTAAGTATTAAACATATGCCACAAGCTTTATGCTTTTGTTTTGCAATTTCTTTATTTTTAAATATACCCAACTCCCCAAAAGATGGAAGTGGCCCAAGCCTCCTGGCCTCTGGGAGGCGGTGATGCACGGAGACACCTTCATCCTTCTCCCATGCCCGTTTCCTGACCCACACAGTGCAGTGTCTGCACTGCCCACCTCCCGGCTCTCTACAGTACAGAACTCTACGCTTCCCTGAAACCCTGCTCCTGTGACCTCCTGGATTCCTGGGTCTACTCCTTCCATTCTCCTGAGCCTGGAAAGCTGCTCAGGGGCCCCAGCAGACCTGCCCTCTCCACAGGGACTCACCTGCAAAGGCTTTGGAAATCCGCTCCTTTTTCCACTCCCAGGGCTGGTCATACTCCTCGGGGGGCCTCTCATCATCCTCAGGCAGGCGGGACTCCCGTGGCCATGGGGCTACCTCGCCCTCGGGGGTGGTCCCCTCCTCCTCTGGCTCATAGGGTGTGTCATATAGAGGCAAGGGCTGAGCCGCTGTCTCCTTGGAGCCCCGGATCTCTGCCAGGGAAGGCAGAGGAGAAGAGGCATGAGCTCTGCCCAGGGTGCCTGCTCCCTCCTCCAGCATCGCTCCTCAGCCACAAGCCAGGCCTCCTCCAGCGGAGACACCCTGGTTCCGTGGGAACCTCCATAGCCGCACACCTCATCCTCAAAACACTCCTGGGCCTCCAAAAGCATGGGACCCAAGGGAGGCAGGGACAGATAGGCACCCAAGTACCCCACGGGACCAGCAAGCAGCATTGTGGTTAAGGTGCTGGACTCCTACATGGCTGGCCAGGGTTCGAATCCTGGACTGGTGGCTTGCTTTCTCACTTTTCCTCTCTCTCTCTCTCTCTGGTGAGTGCATGTGCCCTGTAGCAAATAATAATAATAATAATAAATCAAAAGTCAAATAAACAATTTAAAAAAATACAACACATGGAGGCCGGCAGGTGGCATGATAGCTAAGATGCTAGACTCCCACATGGCTGACCACAGTTCAAGTCCAGGCCTTGACAGCTTTCTCTCTCTCTCTCTCTTTCTCATCAAATTGAGTAACAGTAATAAATAAAAAAATAAAATGAATAATTCTTTAAAGAAAAAATACAAAGCACAACCCCATGATGGCCAGCTAATGTTTACACATTTAGGAAACGGAGGCATGATCCTCCTCTAGTCTGTTTCTTCTTGCCCAGTTCCATTTCTATCATTGTGTCCCAAGTGGTATCATTTCCCAGTCAGAAACCCTGCTTCTGCTCACACACTGCTGACCATGCCCTCCTTGACACTTTCCCTTTGATGAGTCCTTTCCACGAATATGTGTCTTCTCTCTGATCACCCCATGTGGTCTCTTCCCTTGCATCCTCTCTCTCTTTTTCTAAGAGGCGCATTAGGGCATGAGAGTTTGCCAGAGAGACAGAGATGGAGACAGAGGGAAAGTGAGAAATCATCCCCCCCGCCCCTGGGGGAGGGAATGGCCACATCGCAATCCCTTCTCTTCTGTCTCCTCCCAGGATCTGGAACATGGATGCACATGTGCCCAGCGTGATTTTCAAGCCAGCGGGTCCAGGACTCAAACTGCAGTCAGCCATGTGGGAGTCTAGCAACATAACCGCAACACCATCTGCTAACCCTGACATCCTATCATTTCAAACTCACCACCTTCTTCAAAGCTAGTGATTCTCTTTTTGGAATCCTAGATCCCAGTGAAAACCTATAAATGTTTTGGAGCTACTCCCTAGAAAATGTGCACTCTAGTTTCACATACAATTCCCGGACGTTCAAGGTCCACACCCCTCTGACCTAAAGAGGGTAGCAACCCTCTCACTTGCTCCATTTCTGAACACTACACTGTTCTCCTTGGACCTGACCCTCCTCATTCTCCAAATTGCCTCTGTCCACTGCCAATACCTGATGACTCCATCCCACTGCCATGTTCCCATGGGTTCCATGGAATGATACTCCTGGGGTCACACTCCTCCCTGCTCTCTGCTTGCCCACCCCACCAAAGGACGAAGAGCAGTCAAGGCTCTCTCTCAGATCTGTCCTCTCACAGAGGAAGAACATTCTGGTTCTTTCTCCTCTGCACAGGGAGTGGCCTGCTCCCCTGCAGAGGCCTATTGACATACCGTGTTGTCCAAGCCCGAGTAGGCAAGTTTAATTCTTGGGTGAAGTATGAAGAAGCCCGCTATAGCAACATAGCTAAGTAATGCTCTCCAATCAACTTTATCAGTAACAAAGCTGGCATTTTAGTCTCCATCTGTCTATTTCCTCAATACTATTTCTCATGATTTCCAAGCTCAGGAGAGGGAGTAATGGATGCTAATTATTGGCCTCTTAAAACCCTAGCAATTTCCACTAATAGCCTGCTAACCCCACTTTCTTATGCCTAGTTCTTTCCGTCTATTCTGCACAGCAAAGCCTCAGTAATCCTCTTAAAATGCCACACTTGTCTTGTTCCCTTCTTGCTCAAGAATTCCACTTCCTTTTTGGAGCAAACTCAAACACCTCATTCAGACCTGCCAAGCGCTTCACCGTCCCTCTTGGTCTCTCTCATCTTGGCTCCCATGGACATTCAGCACTAGCTTTATTTTCCTCCGAACAAACCTTCCTCTCATCCTGCCTTAGGGCGTTGGCTCTGACTAACCTACCCCTGTTCTCCTCTCTGATCACCTCCTCTCTGATCTCATTTGGTCTCTTTTCCTGGAGCCTCTCTCTGCCTCCCACAGCCAGGTCTCCTTCCTTTCTCCCTACCCGTACTCCATGAACTGTGCGCCCAGCCTCATGGCACCCTACCATCTGTGTTTCTTGTCATGTGTTTCCATGCCTTATGGATGTTTCACTTTGACATTCCATCATTTCAAACTCACCACCTTCTCCAAAGCTGAGTCTCTTTTGGGGATCACTTACCCCCTAGAGATCAATCTTGCCCTTCCTAATTATCTTAGATGCTTTTACTGATTACATGCTTCCTGTACCACCTCAACTCTCCTCCTCAAAATGACTGTCATGGAGGCAGTGGTCATCCTCCCCAAGGACCTGCAAAGGTATTCTTCATCTATTCTTGCTTCTTTTTGTTTGTTTGTTTGTTTTTGTTTTTGTTTGTTTTTGTTTTTGTTTCTGCCATAGGGCGAGTGCAGTTGCTGGA